GGGGGGGGGGGAAGAATACTACACTAGGCTTACCAAGATAATCAGATATAATGTGTAGTCTTCAATTAGATACTGGTTTTGATCAGTTTGAGAAATCTAAATAAGGTCTAGAAGTACTAGTAGGAACACTTACTGAAATAAAAAAGATGAGAATTGATAAAAATGCAGGTTATCAAATTGTATGTATGATATCTCATTTTTTATAAAAACGAAAGTATGGAAAGTGTCAGAAAATATCTAGAAGTATATACATAAGATATCTGGTGGAATGTGATTAAAATTTTTTATGTCTACACTAATTTTATATGCTTTTGAAGTAAATTATTTCAAATTTAAATTGTATGATATGATTTCTATCTAATTCCAATTCTGACATTTCATAATTTTATGAGCCACGCCTGTAATACATGCCTATAATACGTGCAACATTAAAATTTTAAGTTTCTATGAAACTACAGTGTTTTAATCCCTTTATTTCTTAGATAGAGAGCCTGGATTTTTTATTTCTATTAAAGACAATTGAAGATTTCTATAAAAGTGAAGATGGGGAAAATCTGGAAATCCTCTGTCCAGTTCAAGATCAAGCCTGTGTAGCCAAATTTGAAGATGGAGTTTGGTACCGAGCAAAAGTCATTGGTAGGCAATTTTGCACACTGTTTCTACAGGGAAATGTTATGTTTCAGAACTGATACCATTTGAGTTGGAACAAATTGAATCTTGGGAGTGATATTATTTGATCTTATAATTTTTGTCTGTCATCTGTGTTTAGAAAGCTAGTGATAATGTTGGGAGATGAATCTCTGGCTTCTTAGATATCATTTGATTTGACCATTTTTTTGTTTTCTAATGTCTGCTTTGTTTAAAAAGTTAACTGACTTACACTCCACTCTCTTCCTAAAAAGCAAATACTTTTCATTCTTTCAACCATTTTTTTGGTATTTACTTTCAACCATTTTTCTGTTATTTTTTCTAAATAATATGTACTACTTTGTTGAAACTTTCTTACATGTTATTTATTTTGTTAGATAAGTTTTAGATCTCTTATAGCTCTTTTGTCTCCTCCTTAGCTCCTTAGCCCCCATAGTTGTCTGACAGTATTTAATTAAATTAATATTCTATGTAAATATTTTCATTGGTAAGCCATAAAATATACTTGAATTCTGAGTTAGTAATTTCATCAACTTTTTACTTTTTCTTTTAATTTCTGGCTACATTTTCCTAATACTTCAAAACAATTTTCCACATGATTAGACTTTCAGATAATATTAGTTTTATTTAACTTTTTAACTTTTATTTTTTTAATTCTCACCTGGGGATATTTTTTCCATTGCTTTTTAGAGAGAGTGGGAGGGAGGGAAAATAGGGGAGAGAAAGAGAGAAACATCAATGTGAGAGAGAAACATCACTTGGTTGCCTCCCCCACACGCCCCGACTGGGGCCAGGGATTGAACCTGCAACCCATTTACGTGCACTTGACAGGGAATCAAACCCATGACCCTTTGGGTGTGCTGGCCAATGCGCCAACCACAGAGCCACAATGTCCAGAGCAATTTATTTTTTAACTATGAAAACATTCTTTTGTCTTCTGCTCCAATTAGACTGCTTGTCTTGTAGGCTTACTGCATTTTTATTATCGTGGGAATTTGTTTCACTTGGTCATAGACTTCATTGTTCTCTGTATGGAATCCCTATTTTCTGGATTCCATGTTCACCTCTTCAGTTCACTCCCTTATCTTGGTGGAACATCTTTTGATTGTTTCCTCAGAGAGAATAAATGGTATGTAAATTTTGAGACCTTCTATGTCTCCTCACTCTCCTCTCATGCATGATTGATAATTTGGGTTAAAAATACTGTTTAAATTCCATCCCTTATCTGTTTATTTTGTTTAAAACAGCATCTTCATTCAGAGACTTGAGGAATGGTAAGGTTCTAATGGTAGTGGTACAGTTGAGAATATCCTTCTAAGTAAAGATGCCAGTGGAAGTGGGGAGAGGTTTCCTGACCTTCTTACCTTATAGAGACAGGTGTCCTCTCAGTCACCTCAGTTACCGTAGGGCTTAAGTTGTTTGAATTGTTATCTTGAGTACCTGTGTTACTCTATCTGCTTCCACTTCTGTTTAGGAGCAAAGAATGCCTGTACATTTCCCATATTGAAAGTATATATAGTATCAGCCTTAAATATGAAAATGATGGCAACAAGTTTAGTAGCACTATATACATGTGCTGAGAAAGGCCAAAGTCAACCGTGTATTTTGAGTTTTTATAAAAAAGGTCAGTTTGTGTTAGGTCTTTGTTCAAACTTCAGTGTGTTTGAATCTTGCAGAGGTTTCTTTGGTATCCTTTAAAACATAGACTAGATTGACATAGATGTCTGTCTCTGCTTGCTTTTTCACAATATCCCCAAAAATAATTTTTTAAAATTTCATAGTTACATATCATTATATGAATGAATCTTTAGTTTGATTATTAAACCTTTTGCCTTGTTTGATCACATATGTTGACAATCATTACTTATTAAGTGCTTGTTCTATGCTTGGTGCTTTGTAAAATGTTTTAAATAGGTGAATCCTCAAAAAAATGGTACAAGATTTGATTCTTTTGATATACCTATTTTACAGATAAAATAATGAGGGTTGGCCCGGCCAGGTGTGGCTCAGGGGTTGAGCATTGACCTATGATCCAGGAGATCGGGGTTCAATTCCTGGTCAGGGCACATGCCCGGGGTTGCTAGCTCAGTCCCTAGTAGGGGGTGTGTAGGAAGCAGCCAATCAATGACTCTCATCATTGATGTTTCTATGTCTCTCTCTCCCTCTCCCTTCCTCTCTCTGGAATCAATAAAAATATATATTAAAAAAAAAAAAGTTTAAAAAAAAAAAGAGGGTTGGAGAGAAAAATTAACTTGCTCAAATCATATGTTGGAGTTTTTAATTAGCTTGCTTAGAGTCACATGGCATTCAGTGACTGAGCTAGGGTTCTAACCCAGTCAGTCTAACTCAAAGCCTAATTCTTAACTTTTAGGCCATAACCCCAAGCACTTGACAGTTATTTTGTTATCCAGATTTTGGTTGTCCTTTCAATATCTTTTTAGCTTCTTACTTGCCAAACCTGAACAACTATGCATTATGGTTGATTTTTTGAAGTTCACATATTAGAAATACTTTTTTACATTTTAAAAAATATTTAGTTTGTGTGTGGAACATAAAAATATTCTAATCTGTCCTGGCCAGGGTGACTCAGTTGGTTAGCGTGTCATCCCATACACCAAGACGTGTCGGGGTCAAGGCACATACTCAGGTGTTGTGGGTTCAATCCCTGGTTGGGGCACATATGGGAGGCAACTAATCGATGTTTCTCTCCCTCCACCACCTCTCTCTCTCCCCCTCTCTCCCTTTCTCCCTTCCTCTCTCGAAAATTAACTTTTAAAATGTTCTTTAAGTATTAATTGACTCTAACTCAGTCTAAATTTTGCTAGATTTTTTTCTCTTTTCAAATTTGTGATTTCTAATTTCATAATTTTTGAAGGATTGCCTGGACATCGTGAAGTTGAAGTTAAATATGTGGACTTTGGCAATACTGCAAAAGTAACACTTAAAGAAATGCGTAAAATAAAGGATGAATTTCTGAATCCCCCAGAGAAGGTAACCTACTCATTGTGAATCATAGGGTTAGAATATTAGCACATATATGAAAGTATGTTTCGAAGTCATTTCACAATAGAAATGTTCTTGTAACTAACATTTTTATCTATAAATAATTTCTGTTACATGGACTGTAGAGTTGCTGTATTGATATTTAAGAAATAATAATGTGTATCTTATCAGATAGGCATTCATTATAAACACGTGTGTGTATATATATTTGTGTCTTTATAAGAACTTTCTAGTGTGCAGGTTTTAATGTTATTTTGAAATATCTATATAATGTGGTAAGTTTATGACAGATTTGTGTAAAAAAGCTCATTATAGAAGTACTTTTACTATGATCCCATTTATGTTTAAGTGTATATAACATGTGCAAGAGAAAGAGAGATGTCTATAAGAATGGGGGAGAAAAAGTATCCTCCTGGAATCCTCTGAATTGCTATTGAGCAATATTTTTCATTTTAAAAATGGGTAGAAAGTTATAGGAAAAGCTTGAAAATATAGATAAGCAAAATGAGGAGAATCACTCAGAAATAGTCAATATTTTTTAAATACTTGTAAGATGCATCATCTCTGTTTTTAACAATTATGGGATTAGAATACATATAGTACTATAACCTGTTTTTGTCATTAACAATGTAGCATAAAGATCTGTAATTCTTTTAATGCATGGTTGTTGTTCTAGTATCTGAGTGTTCATTAATTCATTCAACCAAATACCCTGTTGATTCCAATTATTTGCATATATAAAGTACTATTATAGACATCTTGCACATTCATTTTCTGAATATGTATTAAATTCAAACACAAAGTTTAGCTTAAACACACATAAAACTTTAATTCTAAAATAACTAGAAATTAAGTTTACTTTCTTAATGGTGCAATTTTGTTTGACACAGGCAATTAAATGTAAGCTGGCCTATATTGAACCATGTAAAGGGACGTTGCAGTGGTCCAGAAAAGCTAAAGAAAAATTTGAAGAAAAAACTCAAGATAAATTTATGACATGTTCAGTCATTAGTAAGCTATTTTTACTTTTTGCTCTGTGGTCATACATAATTTTAAATAAGAATAACATTCACCAGATCTTGTAATAAATTCAGTGTGTCATCAATAAGAGGAGTGAAGATAACTTTTATTGAAATTGGGTCAAATGGAATAATGTCTTCTATAGGCCTAGAGTCGTAAATCAGCACTTGAGGCAAAAATTACTATTAAAGATCAAGTCATCCTTAACATGGCCTCTTGAAAGCCCGAAAGCTAGGAATTAGCTTCTCTTATTCCTGTTCGCATTTTTGCTAGGATTCAGTCCCTAATTTTGCAATGATGGATGTCAGTGTTTAATTTGCAGGAAAGTGAGGGGAGGTTATTTACATAACTGGTAAATAGTTTTTGTTTTTCATTTCATTTGACTTAAGTGAATTGAACAGTAGGCTCTCAGCATATTTTGAAATAAGTTAGTTCTTTTTGGAATAGTTTGGGTCCAAGACATAGGCTGATATTAGCCAGCAAATTTGTAACCCAACAAGTTGTGAAAATCAAAACTTTAGTGGCAAAACCTGATCTGAATCGACAGGAGGAGATATGTGGTCTCTGTCTCCTTTACAGTGAAAAGTCACACAGTCAGTCCTCAACATCGTCAATAGGTTTTGAGATATTAAGCAAAACAACATATAACTAAACCATTTTTACCATAGGCTAATTGATATAAACGAGTTTAGTTCTTACAGCATCTCATTAATGACATTATTTGATATATTCCACTTCAGGATAGTAATGCTCATTTGTGGGATGCTGCCTCAGAATCTGCTGGGGGAATTATAAAATATGCAACTTTTCTCAATTTGAAGACTTCTGAAACACTTCTGGTTCCAAGGGACTTGGATAGGGAGATTGGGAATCTGTTAATTATCTGAGGCTTTGAAATGTAAAGCTATGACTAACATTGGCTTTGTTGGTTTTAATGAATACTAGTGCAAAATACACACGATCACGTTTGCTTAAGGTTGATTTACGGGACTTTTAAGGATAATTTTTACTATATCCATTTTTTCACTTTTATCATACTACCTACCATTTGTCAGATTATTAGCTTGTTTTACAATGAGGAAACTGAAGCTTAGAGATCAAGTGTTCAAGGCCACATAACCTAGAAATGATGACATGTGATCTTTTATTCACTTTTATATAAGAAATTTTTCTGAAGAAATAGTTCTGTTAAAGAGGAATATGATTATAGAAATTGCATCCTTAGTCCATAGAATTTTTATATCTGGCTTCTCTGATTTGAGCAGTGAATTAAGGGCCTCTTAGTCCTTGAGTAACTTACATTGATTTTGAGCTGACTTTAACCTAGATAATTATACTTCCCAACTTTCCTTTTTATATTTATTCTGTTGATTTTTGAGCTCCTCCCATGAATATCCCCTCCTGTGGGCAGCCCATCAAGACCTGATTCCCTGGGGCTTTTTTCTTGACTCCCTTTTTTCTCTTTCTTTCTTTCTTTCTTTCTTTCTTTCTTTCTTTCTTTCTTTCTTTCTTTCTTTCTTTCTTTCTTTCTTTCTTTCTTTCAATATATCTTTATTGATTTCAGAGAGAAGAAAGGAGGGAGAGAGAGAGATAGAAACATCAGTGATGAGAGAATCATCTATCAGCTGCCTCCTGCACGCCCCCAACTAGGGATCGAGCCCACAACCCGGGCATGTGCCCTGACCGGGAATCGAACCCCGATCTCCTGGATCCTAGGTCGATGCTCAACAGCTGAGCCATGCCCTGCTGGGCTTTTCTTTCTTTCTTAATTATTTGTTATACCAACAGCATCCAAACACTAGTCGTACCATAGCTACTAACCTAGATCATTTGGTTTAAGGAATGCCAAATGGCTCTGCTCAACCTAAAATAGCTTTCCTCACTAACCCGCACAATGATGAGGTTGAGAGTTCAAGACATTTATAATAAAGTGGAACTACCACAGATGAGAATGAAAGCCACCCATTAATATGCATTGTTACCTTCTAAAGCAAGCGACATTTAAATTTTAAGTTGGAGTAGAGCAGGGAGGTGGTGAAGGTACAGAACACAGGGAAAGTTAGCCTTATTGAAATAAAGAACTTGATGCATGGGAAATAGGAAATCAGAGAACTAAAGGAAACATAAGAGAAAGTAAGGAGATCACAGTTTATTGAGCCTCTCAGCCTTTTGTTTCTAGATAATCTATCTGGTTTATTGAAAAGTAGGAATGATTTTCAAGTTCTTGAAAAAGGTTTCCTAATATGCATCTTATGACTAGGTGATATAGGATGTTATGCTAGTAAAAGTTTATCTTTTTATTTGGAATCATTACTCTGACTAGCAGGTACCAACTACTAATGTATGGAAGGTGTAGGCATAAACTGATCTCTGTGCATAGAAGTATGTGTTGCCTAAAGAAATCCCTCTGTCATTTATTCAGATACTCATTGAGCAGATTCTCTGTGCTATGTACCATAAATAAGTAAATAGGCACATGAGATGTAAACTTTACCCTCAGCTAACTCCTAGTTTAGTTTAAGAAATAGATCTAATAAACAATCAACCAATTTGTTTTCTAAAAGAAATTTAGATAGTTTGTCCTGAAATCCAGTTGATTAAGGGATGGGAAAAATTCTACTTGACTAAGGGTTCTAGATTGAGTTTTTGTTGTTTTAAACTTTCTACCATTTTTATAAAAACTGTAATCCTTTTCAAATAATCACTGACCTGAATTAATTTTTATTCATTTTTTTTGTCCTCTGGAACTTGGTTGAATCTGATTCAAAAAATAAAAACACACAAAATACAATTTTTCAATGGATATATGTCAATTTATATTTTTCTGAATCTAAAAGCTTTAAGCTATTTTGGTTCATTATAGAACACCACACAATAATCTAAAATGAACATTTTATTAATTTGTATATGCTCTAGATAACATTGGCAATTGTTTTATGTCTGCAAAATGCTTTTACCCCTAGAGAGAAACTTTGACATTATTCAGCAAGAAGCTTCATGTACACAAAATGAAAAAAATTGTCTCCAGTTATTTTAATTGCTTCATTTAGTGTATTTTGCAACATATTTATTTCTTTCCCAAAACTAGTCTTGGTTTTACAGGAATCCTGGAAGATAATGTGCTCTTGGTTGAGCTTTTCGATTCTCTTGGTGCTCCTGGAATGATTCCTACTAGTATTAATGACGAGCTAATCAAAGAGGGCCTAGCATCTTATGAAGTAGGGTAAGCAGACCTGTAAACTTGTTTTTGGTTCATATGTAACGCTTTATTCACAAAAAGGGAAACTGGCATGTCATTTCCCCTTTGGATATCTACTTGGACCATAGATGGGAGTTTTTCCCTGTTGATGGGTTGGGAACAACAGTTGAAATTATTCATCTAATGGGGACTAGAGTGACTTTTCCCTCCATCCCTAAGGAACCCTGAAACCACAAGAATTGGCTTCTAGAGATTGAAGGTTCATGTTAGAAAAGGATACTGGCACCTTATTTCTAGTGTCTACTGAGGCAGCCTCTTGTACCTGTTTGAGAAGAGAATTAGGAAGAGAAATGGCAGGATACAGAGGAAGTGTACTGGGAGAGGACCCCGCATTCTCATTTGAAGAAATGTGAATTTTTCCTGGGTTCAAGTGGATACTTTGAAAGAGAACCAGGCTTGAGCCATACCCAGGACAGGACACTGGGTGAAATGACCCCAGAAGCGGAAGGCTAGAGTGGTGATGCAGAAGAGGTTGGGAGGATTTGGAGTAAAGACAGAGCAGCTCTTCCACAATAGGGGCTTGTGCAGTAGGGTGGCCCTTAATGGATCTTCTGAAGAACTCCCACATATATTCCTTAAGAAAGGCAATATTTGATAATACCCACTCATAATGTATGTCTGTCAGGGTAAGCCAGAGAAGCAGTGACACCCAGCAGAGGCCTGCAATCACATGCTCAATGTGTTGTCTTGCTTCCCTTCCCCACCCTAACACTAGAAGAGCTAATAGCAGAAGAGAGACGGCCTTTCCTTTTTCCAGTATAGATCCTAAGTGAGGAAGGGAAAGAGGTGAGAGGAAACACTTAAATATATTAGAGTGAGTTTTGTTAAGTCAAAGTTATTGAGATATAACATACACAATAAAAATTCACCCTTTTTTAAGGTGCACAGTTAGGGATTTTGATAAATATTCATGTATAATTTAAATATCTTACAATTTCATATATCAGTTATACCTCAGTAAAGCTGAAATTTTAAAAAAATTGTCCATCTGGTCATAAAGTATGGTTAACACAGAAGAAGATAACATTTATGTCGAACTGGGAACATGCCCTCAGTTACTCATCAGTATTAATATTGTTACGTGGACATGTAAGTCAGATAATCAAATTACTTCATTACTTCTTTTGTAGCCAAAAGTTAGAGGTACTTTCTTGGCCATAGAACCTTGTATTTCTTTGAGTTATGGTGTTGGCTAGTGCTCAAAGTTCATGTCAGATAAGGACTGAAAACTGTCCATTAGATTTAGCAGCAAAAATCAGTCATCTTGGTTAGCTAAATCTCAGACTTACGGTGAAAGAAATCGTTTTTCTTTTATAGAGATAGAAAATGACATCTAATTATCTGTGATTAGAGTCTGAACCAATCTGATTTTTTAAACATCCGAAACTCTTTATTTAGTAATTTTGCTCCTTAACATCCTTTAATAGCAGTTGTTTTCCACTTGTTTTTGTTTTGTTTTTATCCTCACCTGAGGATATTTTTTTCCTTTTCTATTCAGAGAGAGTGG